AAACTAATAGCCCTTCGTTCTGCCACAGGCTGCGACGGCATAGAGAGGAGTAGTTCTCAGAACATATTAGCCCTTCGCTCTTGCCCAGGCTGGACGGAGCATAGAGAGGAGTAGCTCTAGAACATATAGCCCTTCGCCTTCTGTCACAGGCCTGAGACGAGCATAGAGAGGAGTAGCTCTATAAAACTAATAGCCCTTCGCTCATGCCCAACAGGCTGGAGACGAGCATAGAGAGGAGTAGCTCCTGAACTACTAGCCCCATTCGCCTCTGTCACAGGCTTGGACGAGCATAGAGAGGAGTAGCGTTAGAACCTATACCCTGCGCTCAGTCACCAAGGTGGGACGAGCATTAGAGAGGAGTAGCTCTATACTATAGCTTCGCTCTTGCCACAGGCTTGCGGACGAAGCACTTAGAGATGCAGTAGCTCTGAACCTATAGCCTCGCTCTGCCACAGGCTTGCGGACGAGCATAGGAGGAGTAGCTCTTACGAAACTATAGCCTTCGCTCTGTCACAGGCTGAGACGAGATAGAGAGGAGTAGCCTCTAGAACTCATAGCCCTTCGCTCTGTCACAGGCTGGACGAAGCATAGAGATGAGTAGCTCAATAGAACTATTAGCCCTTCGCTCTGTCACAGGCTGGGACGAGCATAGAGAGGAGTAGCTGCTAGAACTATAAGCCCTTCGCTCTGTCAACAGGCTGAACTGAGCATTAGAGAGGCGAGTAGCTCTAGAACTATAGCCCTTCGCTCTGTCACAGGCTGAGAACGAGCATAGAGAGGCAGTAGCTCTAGAAACTATAGCCTTTGCTCTGTCACAGGCTGCAGACGAGATAGAGTAGGAGTAGCTCTAGTAACTATAAGCCCTCCGCCTCTGCACCTCTCCTGATGGCGGAACGAAGGAGGCATCATTTGTTAACACTCAACAAATCCATGTTTAACCCTCCTCTTGAGGGTCAAAAGGTTATCAGACACTTAACTTACTCTTCGCACGACAGCGAAAAGTACATTTCATGGTCCTTTCAATAAAGTGATAAAAATGGTAGGTCAGCGCTGAAACAAAAAAATTTTGCACTCGGTCCGTTAGACCATGTCCTCAGAAAATGTCTGATATCTGACCCTTCCCCCACTGCCCTTTGACCTGTGACCTCAAATTTCGCACTGGTGATGGGTTTCATCCCCATCACACTATACATCGAATATTAAGAGCGTAGGTCGAGCCGTTGAGATTTGTGCCGCAATTCCGTATTTCTTCCTATACCTTAAGTTAAGGGGGAAATATTCCCCCTCCATTGACACATCTTGACCTTTGACCCTTAACCCCCAAATTCGACATCCCGAGTCCTTTTCGCGATCCCCCCAACGTCCCGAATATCAAGACCGTACGTCGAGCGGTTAAGATTTGTGCCGTAACTGTTGACACACGGACGGACGGCCGGACATTATCGTCCATATCCTTATGCAACTGTTCATCTATTAAATATGATGGCGTTTTAATATAATTCAAGCTATATGTGTGCGGCTTGCGTGTGCGTGCGTGAGTGCGCCCGTGCGTGTGTGCGTACTTGCGCATGCGTGTGGGTGTGTGTGCGTGCGTGCGTATCTTAACATGCAGTATACTCACGACCCACTGCTGTTCCAATCCCAGCATTCTATTTTGATGGAGCGGTCGTAGTCTCCGTTACACAGCAGACGCACGGGAACAGTGAACGGCCGCCATGTTGGATTCAGCGTGTTTTTGATGACCTCGGTGCGATACGTGAGAATATAGCTGCAAGAGATGCATCGTAGAAACGTTGCAAATGTTCAGTTCAACCGATGATCGAGTATAATCGATGATCGTGACATCACTAACACTATTACACATTTTTTATTGGCACCCTAGAAGCGATGTTGAGGGAGGTGCACAGGGGGTCTGAAATTGAAGGACAAACTGAAACTATGACTGCAATCTGTCTAGCTTCAGTACAAAAAAATGAAAGAGCATCAATCTAGGATTACGATTTAAACCAGCTAGTTTCTTTACGGGTTTTCGTGTTGTTGTTTTTTCTTATCGTGGTTCGATGTAGAAATCTGCGAATCAATGTGTGAAACAACTTGGAACAGGGGCCAGAGAAGCAACGGACAACATTTTCAAGTCCCAATAGTCTTTCATAACCTTGCAGCAGTCTAGAAATCCACGTAATCTGTCTAGACTGTCTAGACTGGAAGTGGCTTTTCAAACTCTGATTAGGGGCATTGCCAACGCATTTTGTCCGACACAAAACTCAATCCATTACCGACATCCTGCGAGGGGAATTGACTAAACGGCTAACGTAATGGCTTATCTTTACATTGTCCCTAATGAGGCGGATCTAACAATAGACAATCCTTTCCGCGCGATATCGAGATTTTTTGCCGAAACGTAGTTTTGTATCTTGCATGATCCTGCAACGCCATCTGGTGACGATAATAGATACAAAAAGCATTAAAATAGCTTCACCACCACCCTGCAAAGAACAAGTATAACCGAACTGCTATACACGGTTGACCAAGTTAATCTAAGCATTATACTAATATAATATAAGGTTTTCATGCCTAAATGTAGATTTTAGAAGCGTTTGTTAGCCCAAGTAGACAGCGTGAGTGCAGGAGGTACTTACAAAGTGCTTGCTGAGTGGTCCGATACATCCAGCTCTAATCTTGCAGAACTTTGTCGTCTGGTATTCTGCAGCCAGGCACTGCAGACATCCGTTCATTGCCTCGCAGGCATGCGTCAGCTGCGGACACACGTACATGACACAATGAATGAAATAAGTTCATTGGATTTCATTGAAATTCATATATATCTTGTGTTAAATCCAGGAAATTATCTTACTATCGAAATTTTCGATCTCCCGAATGGGGATAGTAAGTTAATTTCATGGATTTAACACAAGATAAATATGAATTCATACATGATACAACTTTGCTTCGTCGTCGGCCCACAAACCTTTCCAAGATCGACCTTAATTCATCAGCGATTGAAAGAGATCGGGTTACGCGGCGAAAACCGCAGGAGATATGCACGCACGGATGTACGCACACATTCACGATTTAAACCTGTCATCAAAAGCACATGCACCGAAAATATGTGAGTTACAACTTTCAAAAAAAAATTCGCAAATTTTGAGTTTCAAGATTTTCGTGCGAAATTTCGAAAAACGACGGACCGTTTCTTTTTCACTGCCATCACATATCACTACGTACATCTGAAACGACAAACAATTTTAGCTGTAGGAAAATTTGTGTGACAATTTTATCGGACTACGAGGGATGTACTAGCGAGTGCCGGCAGCATGGGAAACCTACATCGTCGTAGATGTGTATGATGACGTTGACCTGTGGAACCTCCTTCTCGATCGCAGCGAGAAACGCCTGCCCGCTGGTCAGTTCCACCAGCTTGCCAAACTTCGGCCTGAAACAACAAAGTGACGGACTTTGGTGCACGTTCGCGTATTCGACGGAAACTGTCTGGTTGTGACAGTGGATTTTAATGAAACTGCATGTACGTCTGTCTGGCTATCTGTCTGTCTGTCTGTCTGTCTGCCTTTCTGTCTGTCTGTCTGTCTGTCCATCCATCCTCCTGTCTACATCTCCGTGTCTTACAATTGTTACACTCATCTAGCATCAAAAGAGTAGTTTTCTAACATCTACTTTCACGTAGGTATTAGCTATGTCCCGTCAATGTCTAACCATCTTACAACGCTATTCGATGGTGAAACGTGAGAGTGAGCGAACATCAACCTACAGGTTTGTAACGAGTGTGAGGCCATAATAAAAATATTGTTTGTTTGCCCTCACCCGACCGACCCGCCAAAAAGGGGCCGACTCAAAAAAATTTATTGATCTTTCCCATTTTTTTTTTTTCTCTTTTTTACAAATTGTATCATTGTACATATTATGTACATTACATAAATATGTCGGCAATACATTATATGTACCAACCAAAACAAACATTCAACATAAAAGGTATCTCCACACAAGCACAGCCGAGCATGTAAACACCATGCTGAATTTGTAAAAAAAAAACCTAAAACAAAGAAGCCTACCTACCTAGCCAAACTTTTCAGCCTGGGTCGGGTGAGGGCAAACAAAGATTTAATAAATTGTGGCCTGAGCGAACATCAACCTACAGGTTTGTGACGACAGACATCATCTCCTGCATGCGCTTCAGCCGGTACTGCTGCAGAAACTCATCCTCCATCTCCTCCAGATGGAGCTGCAAGTCATCTTCCTCATGCTTCTGTTTATCCTTCTCCTTCTGCTCGTCAAGCTATAATAATAGCAGTTAATTATAATTAATTAAAAATGTATGCTTCACACTTGTTAACTTTGGCGTCGAGCTATAATAATAACAGTCTACAAGTACATACACAAAGTATAGGACATACAAATACGTATATAGGTATTCCTTCCATGTTTTACAGGAATATATTATTACTGCCATATGTAAATCATACTTTACATATATTTCAGTTTCAGATATCATATTATCACTTATATGTATATATATATATATATATATATACATACATATATAACGTGATATCTGAAGTATAGGTATGATTATATATAGATATAAAAACATTTATTTTATTATCTTTTACTATCATTAAAGTCAGGATTCATTAAATGGAAACATTAACGGATCCGGTAACAGATGCATTTAACGAGCTACCGTCATGGATACAACAAACTTAACTCACGTCGGATCTGCAGGTGAGAGAGAGTTTCTTGGCCAGCGCCTGTAACTCAGCGTTGTTTTCTACACTCTGCTCGTTCTGAAGCTGCTTGTAGCGCTGCCAGTCTCTGATCACACCCTTTGGGCCCGTCTGCAAGTAACGACATGGACATCTGAGCTATATTCTCTTTCTACTCCTTGTGATAGGAGCATGGGAGTTTACGTGTAGAGATTTGCATTGCTTCATAGTATTGCTCGACTCTGAAGGAATGCGTTCGACTCTACACAGACTTGCATCCCTGCTGAGTATTATCTGCTCTGGGAGTAACCGACTCTCATGCGAATAGACATGCATTCCTGAATACTACTGTCATGTTCTGGGAAGAATATATAGTTGACTTTACATGCAGAGACTTACGTGCAACCCTGGAAAGTATTACCATACGCTGTGAGGAATACCCAGACTCTAAATTTGCATTTGCGCAAGGTAGAAGTGTTATTTTTAATTCACAGATGGCAATCAAATTAATTAAGACAACACAAGTGTTATTGAGGGTGGCAGTACAGTCGAATATTTTTAGCTGAATATTTTTTAGCATGCGTCGGCGTGGCAGCTTGAATACACCTACGTTCACGGACGTTCCCTTGTACGCTTCGTACTCGTTAACTTTGGCGTCGGGAACAAACTGCGGCCTTTTGACGTTCTTACAGCGATCTCTCTCCCTGTTATCGTCATCACCTTCCTCTGGCTTCTCCTCTCCTGCGAAAGAAAACAGGAAAAAGTACTTAATTACAACCTTGTACATTTCAAATATGTCTGAAATTTTCATTATTATGAGACACGAATGTGTAGACAATCGTGGTTTGACGGGGGCGGGCGGTACAAATTCATTCATTGTACATAGCACAGTTCATATACTACTTGCACTCCATTGAGATAACCTTGAATCGCATACTTTATCCCACAAAAGCTCACCTACAGTCAGTATACAACGATATATACTGACCTCATCAATACTCACTGCATACAAGTAATACCTACTAATAGTCATTACTTTGTCCTAACCGGGGTCCCACCCGCAAAGGAACGGTTCAAGGATAGAGAGCATGTCCAGTAATAAACATCATCCTATCCAATCACCGTCCTGGACATCATCTATATCCTTGAACCAAACGGACCATGCCCAATTTTATAGTTACTTATAGCCCGCTTACATTAACTGCGCTGTTAGCTGCCAGCGGGCCAGCTGCCAGTGGCAGTTATGTAAGCGGCTATAGTACTAGAGCTATAGGTTGTACAATAATGTAACCCAACAAGTAACGCTGAGAGGGTCTATGTCCCTCGGGGTACTGCCGGAACGTACCCTGGCACTATCTAATACGCAGTGGCTACGGGTACGGTAGCCGTCGATTCGTTGATGCCCCTTTTTGGCGTTATGGTTAGGGTTAGGTTTGTTTAGGGTTATGGTTAGGGTTAGGTTTAGGGTTAGGGTTCTAGCTCATCTAAATCTCAAATTCGTGAATTTATTTCCCAAGGCGTTATTTCGAAATCTAGCGCCACCCGCCGCCCATCTTTGTCTCGTTAAGTATGAAAGCGAATGGACTCCCGTACCCGTAGCCTCGAGACATTAAGATACGGCTACCGTAATCTCACAGGTGAAAGTTTAAAATAAAATAAAAACCCCAGGTGGTCAAGTGCAGTGTGATAACTGTGATTCAGATTCAGATACTAATAGACCTTGTTAATACCATTTTAGATGTCGACCTACATATGTACATATCAATCTCACGTGCATGGAACGAGCACGATATTCACCACGCGTTTCGCCAAGCCAACTGTGTTATAAGATACACTACAAAAAAATATAGGCCCATCTTCACACAAGCGGCGCGTCGCGGCGCAGCACCGTTAATTACCTTCATAATCTATGATATCTTCTGGCGCAGTCTCCACTGACACTGCCACGGCGCAGGCCTGGTTTCACGGCGACGGCGAAAGTCAAATGAGTTTGACTTTTTTGCCGGCTGACGTGACGGCGAAAAGACAATTGAACAATCAACGCCGATTGTTTTTATCTCATCTGACATAGTCAGATGCAGCTTGTAGAATCGCATGATCGTCCGTGCGTCCGTGCCGTCCGTCCGTCAACAGTTTGGGCCGAAATCTTAATGCCGCTCGACGCTACGTCACGATAATTCGGGACGTGGGGGGGTAATCCGAAACGAGTTGGGATGTCGAAGCTGGGGGTCAAAAAGTCAAAGGGTCAAGAGGTGTAAAATAAGGGGGAACATTCACTCTTAACTTAACGTATAGGGAGGAAATGCAGAATTGCCGGCACAAATCTAAACGGCTCGACCTAGGCTACGTGATAGTCGGCTGTATAGCCATCATGGTAGGAAAAGCCATCACTGTGCAGAAATTGGAGGTCACAGCGGTCAAAAGGTCAATGGGCACAGGGCAGATTTTTAGACATTTTCTGAGGACATGGTCTGACGGAGCGAATGAAAAACTTTTTGTTTCAGCGGTGAGCCTAGCATATTTTATGGCTTTATTGAAAGACCATTGAAATGTCCTTCTTCTTGCTGACATGCGAAAGTAAAGTGTCGATAACTTTTGACCCTCAGAGAGTGGTTAAACATGGATTTGTTGACTGTTAACAAAGGGTGAACTGCTTTTGCTATTAGAGCCCCCTCCCCCACCTCCTCCCCCACCCCCTCCCCCTACCCTCATCTGGCAATAGTGGGCGTGTCCTAACAATGATGTGTACGCAACTGCGTGTCTGCATATCTGCTGCCTAACAAATGTGGTACTACGCCACGATGAATTTTACGTTATAATCGTAGCAACAGACTCAGATGAGCCCAGACGCTCTGCGGCTCTTGTTGTCACGTGTTCTGGAATCGATATTGAAGCAATGCAAAGATTTTGTTGCTAAGTGTGACTCAAGGAAGGTCACATTTTATAGTTTTCTGCATTTTTCAAGGTTTCTAACACTGTTCTTTGTTTTCACGTGTCAGACTTTTTTGCCATATTATTTCATCATTATTATTTTTCTGTTTCATCTTTTAATCATGCTAACTGTGTCACACAGTTTAGCACAAGTCCGTGTGTAGCTTCTTAGCATAGCTCTATCTAGAATTAATAAACATTTTTGGTTATTTTATG